TACAGGGCTCTTATAGGGCTCTTAGGGCCCTTAAGGGCTCTGAGTTCTAGGGCTCTTAGGGCTCTTAGGGCTCTTAGGGCTCTTAGGGTCTAAGCGATCTTCGGGGTGGAGGGTCTTCTTGGGGGCCTTTATCGTGCCCGTCTTGGCGTGCACAGGTTACCTGAACCAGCTGAAACAAGCGCGCCAAGGATGGACCGAGGCCCTCATCCTTGAAACTTGTCGGGTTTCGGGCTCAGGGTGTAGGGTTTGGGGTCTATGGCTTATGGGTTCAGGGTTCAGGGTTCAGGGTTCAGGGTTTAGGGTTTAGGGTTTAGGGTTTAGGGTTTAGGGTTTAGGGTTTAGGGTTTAGGGTTTAGGGTTTAGGGTTTAGGGTTCAGGGCTTCGGGTTCAGAAGTCCCAGGCTAAGGCGCCAGACTTGAGCCACATGATTGGGAAGCCGAGCTCGCGTGTCAGCCCCCACCCCACCCGTTTAGGGTTTAGGGTTTAGGGTTTAGGGTTTAGGGTTTAGGGTTTCCTATACCCTATCCACTACACACCCCACAACTCTAAGCGCTAAACCCTGCAACCCTAAACCTCAACACCTGCAAACTTTGAAGATGCATGAAACACCTACAAAACCTTGAAAGCCCGAAGCCCTAAGCCTGCGCCCCTAAAGAAACCCTGAACCCTGTAACCCAAGAACCTTACAACCCTATAACCCTATAATCCTATAACCCTAAACCCTAAATCCTATGACCCCCTAATTAACCCTAAACAATAAACCCTAAACCCTACAACCCCAAACCCTAAACAATAAACACTAAACCCGAAACCCTAAACCCTAAACCCTAAACCCCTAAACCCTAAACCCTAAACCCTAAACCCAATGATGTAGGCTTTGGGGGGTGTGGCCTAAACGTTCTGGAGCCCAAAACTTCGTCCAAGACCCCAAGCTTCCAAGACCTCCCAGAAGCCCAGAACACCGACCAAAACCTACATCTTCCGCCCTTTAGGGTTTGCGGTTTAGGGTTTAGGGTTTGGGGTTTAGGGTTTAGGGTTTAGGGTTTAGGGTTTAGGGTTTAGGGTCTAGGGTTTGGGGTTTGGGGTTTGGGGTTTAGAGCAACCATCGCCCCGGGGGTGGGTGGGCCATGGGACCTGCACCTCTTGCTCCGAGATGTCTGTGGAGGCCTGCACTTCGGCCTCAAGAAGGCGACTTCTAAAAGTGCCCTGAAGTCTTCTTCCGGCTTGAGGGGTTTAGGGTTTCGGGTTTAGGGCTTAGGGTTTAGAGTTTAGGGTTTAGGGTTTAGGGTTTAGGGTTTCGGGTAGGTGCGGTTGTGGTGACTGTTGCGGTTGCCAAGCCACCGCACCTAAGAACCTGGGGTCGAAGACCAACCGGACGATCCAAAAAGTAGAAACGACTCAGGGTTTAGGGTTCAGGGTTTGGGGTTTGGGGTTTAGGGTTTAGGGTTTAGGGTTATAGGGTTTAGGGTTTAGGGTTTAGGGTTTGGGGTTTAGGGTTTAGGGTTTAGGGTTGAGGGTTTAGGGTTTAGGGTATAACCTTAAACCCCAAACCGCCAGATCGTAAACTAGGGCCTACAGTATTGCTAACCGCCAAAACCACTAAACCTTGAACCTCCAAAACCTAAACCGCTACACATCTTAAGCCACCAATCTCTCCCTAAATCGTAAACCCTTCATAGCCTTCAAACCCTATAAACCCCAAACCCGAAGCTCCTAGACCCAGGATTAACCTAGCAATAAAAGGGTGTCTTTTTTGGTTTAAAATGGCTTATAAGGGAACCCAAACCCTAAAAGAAGGGAATAAGGGCCTACTCTTGGTCCTAGGCCCCTTACCTCTCTTTCTCCGCTTCTTTACCTCTACTTGAAACTGGCAAGCCCTGAGCAGAGAGAAGTGGCCGCCAAGTCAAGGTTAGGGGCTTAGGGTCTTCTTAAGGTGCAAGACATTAAGGATTAAAACCAACAAAAAACTAAAACCCGCCTAAACCCTAAACCACAAACCCCTAAACCCCCAAACCCCTAAACCCCTAAACCCCACAACCCCAAACCCCGACACCCAAACTCTCCACCCTAAAGCCTAACCCTGAGACCAAATGATGCAAGCCCTAAACCCTAAACCCTAAACCCTAAACCCTAAACCCTAAACCCTAAACCCTAAACAACACCAAGGCATGCCTCTGCAAATTCCGTGTCGGTCTGCGTTGACGCCTGGAGATCGGAGGAGGTCCCACCCGAACTACCCTAAACCCTAAACCCTCCGAAACCCTCCAAAAACCTCTCAAACCCTCTAAACCCTCTGACTTCTAAAAGCCGCCAGAACCCCGAATCCTAAACCCTAAACCCCCTAAAGGGGACCAGGGATTGGGTGGTACAGCACCTCCCACACTTTGCGGGCTTTGAGGGGTTTCCGGGCTGCACCCCCAACTCCCGACACCAGGAATCCTCAACATTAGGGTTTAGGGTTTCGGGTTTGGGGGTTAGGGTTTAGGGTTTGGGGGTTTAGGGTTTGGGACGTGTTGTCTTAGGGATAGGCGTTTTAGTACTTTGTGTTTTTGCTGGTTTAGGGGTTTATCTGCTTCGGGGTTCAGGGCTTTATGTGGGGTTTGGGGTTCAGGTAGGGTCTGGGGATTGGGGGGAGGTTGAGGGTGTACAGGGTTAAGGGATACACCATGAGAGCTCTTTGGGGGTTTAGGGTTTAGGGTTTAGGGTTTAGGGTTTAGGGTTTAGGGTTTAGGGTTTAGGGTTTAGGGTTTAGGGTTTAGGGTTTAGGGTTTAGGGACCCATAACCGATGACCCTGTAAACCCTACGCCCTGAATCCTTACCGCCCCCAAAACGCCAAACCCTCCCTTAACCCCAAACCCCAAACCCTAACACCTACCCACCCCAAACTCCAAACCCCCCAACCCTGAACCCTAAACCCTTCCGCCCTACCCCAAACCCTAAACCCTAAACCCTAAACCCTAATCCCTAAATCCTAAACCCCGGGCCCCATACCCCAAAGCCTAAACCCTGAACCCTGCCTCAAAGGTCTTCACCTTCGGGCGCTGGACGCCCCAGGCGCTGCGGCTGGGGACGCCGGGGGCTCCTGAAGGGCTGCTTTTAAGGGTTGTTTGAGGGGTTGAATGTTTAGGGTTTAGGGTTGAGGGTTTAGGGGTATAGGGCTTTCAGGTTTGGTGTAGGTTTAGGGTTTAGCGTTAACTTGTATGGCGCAGAAGCTGTGAAGGTTAGGATGCAGACTAGGCTCGAACGCCTCGGGAAATGCGACGAGCAGCCCCCGCCCGACTGTGGAGGGACATCTAGTATCTTCATCCCACCACCACTTTTCTGGTTCAGGACCGACACATGAAACTCAAAATGTCCACCTACGGGGGAGAACCACCTCGTACTATCTAAATTTGTATTGGAGGTAAGGCCTTCAAATATGGCTTGCCCAGACCTCAAGGTACCCAAATCATTGCGGCCAGTAAACACTACATTTGGGAGCTTCCGAAATTAAGGGTACCTTATTGGGGCCCTTACTATACGGGAATCCTACTATTTGGGGGTCTATACTAGGGGTCCTTATTCTCGTATACGCTACAAGTTGGCAGCAACCAGCTCCGGACAGAGTTGGAAGGTCTGTGATGTCGAGCTTCGTCCTATACACCCGTTGGACTTCAGTTTTGAAAACATGCTTCCCTTCTTTTCTTTGTTTTATATAAAAATACAAAAAAAAACACTACTTCAATTTTGAAAAAAGCTTGTTCTTGTCTTGGGTTTTCAAAATAGAAGTGTACAAAATAATTCCGAAGGGAGCTATAGTTTCGGGTTCAGGGGTGCGGGAGCATCCCTAAACCCTAAACCCTAAACCCTAAACCCTAAACCCTAAACCCTAAACCCTAAACCCTAACCCTAAACCCCAAACCAGAGTTGATTCCAGGGAAGCAACACCTGGCCTGGCGCTGCCCGAGCGGCTCTGTTGCAAATATACCTTGGGCTGTGGGGGGGGGGGGGGGGGGTCGATGCTGGGGCACCACTTAGGCTGTTGGATTCAGGGTTTAGGCTTTAGGGTTTAGGGTTTAGGGTTTGGGGTTTGGGGTTTGGGGTTTGGGGTTTAGGGTTAGGGTTTAGGGTTTGGGGTTTGGGGTTTAGGGTTTAGGGTTTAGGGTTTAGGGTTGAGGGTTTAGGGTTGAGGGTTGAGGGTTTGGGGTTTAGGGTTAGGGTTCAGGGTTTAGGGTTAAGGGTTTGGGGTTTAGGGTTTAGGGTTCAGGGTTGAGGGCTTCGGGTTTCTGGTTTTTGGTTAAGGGTTTAGGGTTGCGTTCCTGGGTATCAACAGGGTATCAAAACGACTGGTTAAAAACCCTAAACCCTAAACCCTGAATTCAGGCTCCGGACATCCCCAAAAATGAATGCGGCCTCGCTGCTCCTGCACGGCAACAGGCGTCCTGCAGGAACGACACCGGCCGAGCTCCTGCTGTGTTTTCAAAGGGTCGAGGGTCTAGGGTCTAGGGTCTAGGGTCTAGGGTTTAGGGTTTAGGGTTTAGGGTTTAGTGTTTAGGGTTTAGGGCTTATAAGTTTAGGGTTTAGGGCTTAAAGACCGTGCAGGAGTGGACCCGTACAGTAAATCCCTGGATCCCCATAAGAGGGTCCAGGAATCAAGGTTTCAGGCAGAAGGTGAGGCTCGACCACATCTATCCCTGAACCCTAAACCGTTTAGAGTGTAGGGCTTGAAGGCGGAGATGGTTCTTCCTGAGTTTGGGTGGGAGGGATGGGAGTGCACTACTGCTTCTGAGGGTGTCTCAGGATGTAGGAGTCTGCGGTTTTGGGATTGTGAGGAACCTCCACCACGCTAAATCCCTAAATCCTACATACCCAGAACCCTCGGCCGCTGATTAAACCATGCTGCTTCTGCCTGCCCAGCTTCGCAATCTCTACGTGGTAATTATGCAAGTTCCAAGAGCTGGCGGCCTCTCTTCAACGCAGCAGAAGCTCTGCTCGGGCAAATCCCATATCCGGAAGTGCCTCAAACTACCAGCATCTGCTGCCTGATGATGCTGCAAACCACCCACAGGCTGGTTTCGGACGGATCCAGGATTCTCTCGGAGAAGTCGCAGCACTCCAAGGCCTCAGAAGTTCGGCCCCTCGAGGCTAAGATCTGCGCCTGGAAGCCCAAGTTCCCCGCCGCCTGCCCAGGTAGCGTGGAGGCCACGGACAGAGCGCTCTGGATCATCTCCTTCCCTCGCTCCTTCTCCCGTGGGGTGCGCATGTGGTACTTCAAGAGCAGGCCGAAGAAGAACTGCAGGAAGGAATTCTTGCCGGCCTTTGCCTGAACAATCTCATATTGCGCCCGGGAGTCTTCAAAGCGGTCGGCCACGTGGCTGAGCCACGCGCCCATCTCGAAGTGGGGCCAGAAGTCTCCGGGCGCAAGTTGCTGCGCTGCGACGAAGTCGCGCTCTGACAAGGTCTTGTTGACGCGCCCGGGCGTTGCAGACAGCCAGCCGCGAAAGATGTGCGCGTTCCTATACTGAACTTGGAACCCTAGCAACAAAATAGCTGTTTCTTAAGATTTAAAGTACCCAAGCATTAACAATTACAATCTTAGCTGTCTCTTAGGATTTATACAGTTCCCAAACATTAAAAACTTATTTCCAAGTGTCCCTAAGGTTCGCCGTGTCTTCCAAAGCCAAAGACCGCTCGATGGAGTCTCCTGCAAGACTCCACTGGAGCCTGGGATGGCACCAAAAAAAAGAAAATTACTCTTAGGGTTTAGGGTTTATTTAGGGTTTAGGGTTTATATAGGGTTTGGGGTTGGGGGTTTGGGGTTGGGGGTTTGGGGTTTGGGGTTTGGGGTTTGGGGTTTGGGGTTTGGGGTTTGGGGTTTGGGGTTTGGGGTTTGGGGTTTGGGGTTCAATTCTGGGGGTTTACGAAAATAATTAGGGGACCCCCAATATATCCAAGGTACCCCTCTTCGTAAGGGAACATATAAAACATTCCATGGGCCTACCTGGGAGCAGATAGAAGGTCTCCAGCTTGGCTTGGAGGCTCCAGAGCCTGCCCTAAACCCTAAACCCTGAACCCTGAACCCTGAACCCTGAACCCTGAACCCTAAACCCTAAACCCTAAACCGCCTGGCGCTCGTTGGATAGACTGCCAGGGTTCGGTTTAGCAGCTCGTAGCTGTCCAGGTAGGCGCGCTGCGTGCCCACGATCTGTAGCTTGTTGATGACATCTATGCCTTGGTCGCCCAGTACATGGTTACTGATAAGGGGGTACCCTTTTGGGGGGGTTTAGGTTTTAGGGTTTGAAATCACTTTAAGGTACCACTGGGTTACCAAGAAGCAGGAGGTCTCGTTCCCACAAGCCGGGCTCTGGGAGTCAGCTGTGACAAGCAGGCATGCCAGAGTCAGCCTGGACGCTGCTGCCATTGCGCGGCGAGGGCTTTTGAAGGGTTCAAGGTTTAGGGTTTATGCGGTTTACATTTACAGGGTTTACAGGGTTTATAGGGTTTATGGGGTTTGCAGGGTTTACAGGGTTTACAGGGTTTATAGGGTTTATAGTTTAGGGTTTGGAGATGCACGTCGTAGATGCTTACAATGCCACAGCGAGTCCCGCCTACTATAAGTCCCAAGTACCGCGATGGTAGTTCCTCAAAACACCTGTTCCCACAATAACCCCAGATTTCCTTGATACCCCCATGGGATCCCTGCAGCAGATTCCCAAGAAGAGCCTTTAGAACAACTTTTTAGGATTTAGGGTTTAGGGTTTAGGGTTTAGGGTTTAGGGTTTAGGGTTCAGGGTCTACGGTTGAGGGTTTAGGGTTTTAGGGGGTGGCTTGCATGCCATGATGAGCCTGAGGATAAGCACGCAGCGCTTGCTAGAAACTCGCACCCTGAAGTTCAATCAACGGCCCCAAAAAAAAGGCCCAAGAAAAGCTTGAAGGAAGGGTTCCGGGTTCAGGGGTCAGGGTTCAGGGGCTTTAGGGTCTAGGGTTTTAAGAGTGTAGGGGTTTCGGGTTTCAGGGTTTTGGAGGGTCTAGGGGATATATAAGGCCCAGGGCAAACCTTAAACCCGAATGCAGGCTCGCGGCTTCGTGAAAAGTATCCCTGAACCCTAAACCCTAAACCCAAAACCCTGAACCCTAAACCCTAAACCCTAAACCCTGACACCTAAACCCTAGGCCACTTCTTTTCAGCTCTGCCCCTAGCGCTTCCCGCGCGTCACCTCCGGGACCTTGGCAAGGGCTTGTCGGTGCCCAAGGTTTAGGGTTTAGGGTTTAGGGTTTAGGGTTTAGGGTTTAGGGTTTAGGGTTTAGGGTTTAGGGTTTAGGGTTTAGGGTTTAGGGTTTAGGGTTTAGGGTTTAGGGTTTAGGGTTTAGGGTTTTAGGGTTTAGGGTTTTAGGGTTTAGGGGTTTTAGGGTTTTAGGGCTTCAAGATTCAGGGCTTCAGGAGTCTGGGGGGGCTATTTAGGAGTTTGAGGGGTTCAGAGTTTTAGGGTTTTGGGGGGTAGGGGGTTAGGACCGGCTAGGACCCCTACCAACCTCCCAAGAAGTGCGGGCCCCCCAATCAAATCACCAAGTCCTAAAATTGGGTTAGGCCCCAACACACCTAGACCCTAAACCCTAAACCCTAAACCCTAAACCCTAAACCCTAAACCCTAAACCCTAAACCCTAAACCCTAAACCCTAAACCCTAAACCCTAACCGCTAAACCCTAACACACACCCCCCCCCCCCCCCCCCCAAAAAAAAAAAAAAACAGAACCCTTCACCCTAAACCCCAAACCCTCAACCCGAAGGCTCTCAACCCCAAACTCTGATAAACTAAAATACTGTAAGCCCACAAATGCAAAAAGACGCCGCCCCGAAACCCTAGATCCACAGAGACCTAAACCCCAAAAACCCAAAACCGGGAGTTGGGGGCTTCAAACAACAACTGCTTGGCCCTGGCACAATCTTCCGGACCGACGTCCGCATTCTTGCTATTCTTCGGAAGGAACGGGAGGAAAGTTTGGATTTTGTCCATGTAGCAGACAGGGGGGACGACCCCTCGTGTCGTGCCGCAGCATCGCAGCTTCACAGCAGGAGATGCATGTGTCCCGGCCCAGGCCGCTGTATCACGCGTTTCACGACGGCGTCCGACCATGACAGCATGCGGATCAGCGTCTCCTGCTGCTTCACACCCTCTGCAGACTCAGAAGGACGCTGGGGGAGGGCTAGGTCTGCACCCTCAGTGCATCGGCTGTGCTGGTCATAGTGGCGAAGGACAGGGGAATCTTTTTAGGGGCACAGCCTGGGCTGAGGGCTTACAACTAGGGTTTCGGGTTTCGGGCTTAGCGCCTAGGGGTGGTTTCTAGACCAGTTTTGGGTTCAGAGGCTTTAGGGTGTAGAGGGTGTGGAGGGTTACGTGGGCATATTTAAGAAGAGGTGGAAGGATGGTGCCTTGAAACAAAGCCCCAGAAGCCCGAAGCCCACAGCCATAAGCCCCAAAACCACAAAACCCTCGAACCCCAACCCCTAAAAGGCCCTAACGCCATAAACCTGAAACTCCGCACCCTAAAACCTGCTAAAGTTCCAAGAAACCCTTAACCCAAAACCTGAAGCCTCAAACCATGAAAGGCCCAAAACCCTAAACCCCAAAGCCCTGAAACCCCAAACCCTGCAACCCCAAACCCCAAACCCTGAAGCCCTAAACCCTAAGCCCCTAAGCCCTAAAACCGTAAACCCTCTAAACCTATAAACCCTAAGAACCCTAAACCCTAAACCCAAACCCCGGAAACCCTAAGCCCTAAGCCCTAAGCCCTAAGCCCTAAGCCCTAAGCCCTAAACCCTAAACCCTAAACCCTAAACCCTAAACCCTAAACCCTAAACCTAGACCTCAAACCCCAAACTTGCAACCCTGATTCCTGAAACCCTAAACCCCAAACCCCAAACCCCAAACCCTAAACCCTAAACCCTAAACCCCAAACCCTAAACCCCAAACCCTAAACCCTAAACCCTAAATGCGGCCGGCGGAGCCCAGGGCTTCGCGCTCGGCCTCCGCGCTGCGCGCGCGGCGGCCGGCGGCGCTGGCCCGGAGGTCCTGAAGAGGTTTAGGGCTTAGGGGTTTGGGGTTTGGGGTTTAGGGTTTAGGGTTTAGGGTTTAGGGTTTAGGGTTTAGGGTTTAGGGTTTAGGGTTCGGGGTCTACACGACATTGGGTTTCAGATGCTTAGTGGCTTGGGCTTTTGGGGGTTAGGGTTTAGGGTCTAGGGTCTAGGTTCTAGGGCTGAGGGTTTAGGGTTTAGGGTTTAGCGTTTAGGGTTTAGGGTCTGGGGTTTGGGGTTTAGGGTGTAGGGTTTAGGGTTCAGGGTTTAGGGCTCACGGTTTTCTTGGGTTCTCGGGACTTTAAGATGCTCCGCCCCTAGAAAACTAGATGCCCTAAGTCCCAAAACCAAAAAAACCTACTTGTAGGGTAGCCTCAAGTCGGGTGCATATTAGCATTACATATAACTACCCATCAGCCTCCAAACCCTAAAGCCTAAACCCTAAACCCCAAACCCCAAACCCTAAACCCTAAACCCCAAACCCCAAACCCCAAACCCCAAACCCCAAACCCCAAACCCCAAACCCCAAACCCTAAACCCTAAACCCTAAACCCTAAACCCTGAACCCTACACGTAAGCACGGAGAACCCAAGCCCTCCTCCAGCACCACCTGGCGCTGGTAGATCTGATCCCAGACTTCTTCCTGGGCAGTCCAACTGAAGAGTCGTGGGCGGCTGAGGGGTTTAGGGTTTAGGGTTTAGGGTTTCGGGTTTAGGGTTTAGGGTTTAGGGTTTAGGATTTAGGGTTTATGGTTTAGGGTTTAGGGTTTAGGGTTTAGGGTTTAGGGTTTAGGGTTTAGGGTTTAGGGTTTAGGGTTTAGGGTTTAGGGTTTAGGGTTTAGGGAAGTCTAGAGTTGAGGTCTGAGGGTTTAGGGTTTAGGCTGCTCGAAAGTTTTAAGTCATGTTGCACCCTATTTGGTGTGTGCCCCCCCCCCCCCTATGGGACTGTCTGGCGGGGTTCGGTGATGCGCTATTGCCGCAAGCCTTCCGAGGGAATATTGCCCTAAACCCTAAACCCTAAACCCTAAACCCTAAACCCTAAACCCTAAACCCTAAACCCTAAACCCTAAACCCTAAACCCTAAACCCTAAACCCTAAACCCTAAACCCTAGACCCTACCCAACCCGTCTACAGAGGGCCCAAATCAGCTTCGGCTGTCCGGCGCTGGGGGGGAAGGGAAGGAGATATTTCAGCGCAGGGTTTGGGACGGACCTTAGGGTTTGTTGAGTTTACACCTTGCTTCATGGAGCTCTATACGGGAACCGAGCCCTATAGATCAAAGGCCAAGGGGCACCGCCAGGGCAACCAAAACAGTTATCCTGCTTTGTTTAGGGCTAGCCGTCAGTTTTAAGTCTTGGGGGTTTAGGATTTAGGGTTTGGGGCTCATACTTGGGGCTTGCGGGGACTCGGGACTTAGGGGCTAATATCTGGATGATATGTGATTTTGGGGCCTCTAGGCTTGGGGTTTAGGGTTTAGGACTTCGCCTGGAGGATCAGAACAACTTGGAAAGTAGCTATTGAGTAGTGAAAATCCTCTTTGTGGGACCAGGTCCCCCGATCCTCCAAATAGACCTTCCGAACCCCCTTGAAATAGCCCTCAACCCTAAGCTATAGCCCTAAACCCTAAACCCTAAACCCTAAACCCCAAACCCCAAACCCTAAACCCTAAACCCTAAACCCTAAACCCTAAACCCTAAACCCTAACCCTAAACCCTAAACCCTAAACCCTAAACCAAAAACCCTAAACCCTGAACCCTAAACCCTAAACCCTAAACCGTAAACCCCAACCCCCAAAAACTGCAGCCAAGCGGCGAGGCGCTTCTCTGTCTCGGCGCTGTCCTTGCGGAGCTCGACCTGCATGCAACTCCCTTAGGGTTTAGGGTTTAGGGTTGAGGGCTTAGGGTTTAGGGTTTAGGGTTCGGGGTTTAGGGGGGATTGCAGGTTCGGAGTATTTAGGAGTATTTAGGGATTAGGGCGCAGGGTTTAGGATTCCGGGGTAGTTGGTACTTGGGTTTGGGGCTTGGGGTTTAGGGTACTCAGGGCTTAAGGGCAAGTACGCTTAAGGGCGTGTTCAGATGAGGGCTCAGGTTTCGGTTAGGGTTTAGAAAGCAAGGGCTCAGGGGTCAGGGCTACTTCTTAGGGTTCAGAGATAAGATGCTTAAGGCCACGGGCATTTAGGTTCGGGCTTAGAGGTATTTAGGGTGCGGGTTTAGGGCTGAGGCTTGAGGCCTTGCAGGTTCAGGCGTAAGCATGAAGTGAGAAAAGTCACTCCTTGGTGGGCTGTTTTTTGTGCCTGGAATTTGGGGTTTAGGCTTAACTTCAACCCTAAACGCCACAACCCTGAAAGC